CCACCACCATTACACCTTCTCACCACCAAATTCATAATGTTTCCATCCCAAGCACTAATCCCTGTCCCAAAACACAAACGAAAGAATATATTTAGTATTGTCTGTTATGAAGAACTGCTGGACATGCTTACAAAAAAGTGTTCATATAGAAGAAAACAGTGTGAAGATAGTTCTATTTTGGCAGGAATCATTAAGACATTCTATAGGATATCACCAACATGTTAAAGTTTGGGTGATGTGAGCTTTGGTATATATGTCTGAAAATATGAATATATATATATATTTCCCTCTTTGATTTGTTGCCTACTATCTGAACTCCATCAAATATGGTGTGGTAATCATGAGAATGGGCAGGGAGTGTCATATGATGTGTCACGCAGCTGTGAAAGTGGCCATGCAGTCAGTCCAGGAATACGTTCACTCATATGGGAGGCTTGGCCCCAGTGTGTGGAAAGCGGCCTAGAGTTCCACCTATTTTCTAATAAAATAAGTGTGTGTGTCTGTGTGTGTCGTGGGGGTGGGGGGCAACAGAGATATGCTACAGGAGAAATGATGCTTGTTTTGCATGTAGGCAAACTCTGGTTTGACCTCTGGCTCTGCATATTGTCTCCCAAGAAACACCAGGAATCACTTCTGAGCACAGAAAGAATAATAGCCCATGAGCAACACTGGTGATTCCAAGATCCTTACTGTGGGAAGAATGTGTTCTACTATTGAGCTACGATATCATAATGTTTCTTCTCTGCTTGTCAATGACATTTTTGACTACATGACAAATAGTGAAAGTTTGGTGATTAGAATTCTATCTCTCACTAAAATAATAAAAAAAAAGATCATGGCAGTTTATTTAGAATTGCAAAAGACTACAAAGAGTAAAAAGCACTCCCGAAGGAAAAAAAAAACAAGAATGCAAGCATTGCATTTCCTAATTTTAAAAACTATGTTTCAAAGCTGCAGTATTCAAAATGGCATTGTATATAAATACAGACACACAGGACAATGGAGCAAACTTGAGAGCCCAGAAATAAAATCACGTAATTAAAAACAAATAATTTACAAAAAAGAAGACAAGAGTTTACAATGAATGGGTCAAGGAAAGTTTCTGCAGTATATGGTAATTAGGAAAATTGGACAGCCACATGAAAAAGCATGAAACTAGTCCACTTCCATGAATAAAAATTATTTCAAATGCACTAAAGATACTGATCTTTAATATACCTGAAACCATACAGCACATAGACTCGAATAAAAGATAGTACATTCTAGGACCTTGAAATCATAAATGTATTTAGAGATTCAACTCCACTGGTAAAGGAAAAATAATTAAAAAAATAAAATCACATCCAAAAGTTCTATAAAGTGATAGAACTTCCATCAAATTGAAATATTCTACCAAGTAAAAAATATCCTCACATTATATGTCTGAGAATGGCTTAACATTAAAAATGCATCAAAAACCTCGTAAAATGAAATAATACAATAAAAACCTGATTTAAAAAAAGACTTTGAATAGACACTCATGTGGAGAAGATATACCGATTGCCAGCAAGTACATGGAAAGATGTTCGTCATCTTTTATTTTTGGTAAAGGCAAGACACAACAACTAAGGAATAATACCTCTTAAATGAGAGAATAGTTATTATTTAAAAACATAAGAACCTTCTTCTCTTTCACTATTTGCGTATAGGAATGCCATAGATTTTTGGGTATTGATTTTATAGCCTGCCACTTTACTATACATTGTTTCTAGGAGTTTCTTGGTAGAGGTTTTAGGGTTCTCTAAGTATAGTATCATGTCATCTGTGAATAGTGAGAGCTTAATTTTTTCTTTACCTATCTGGATGCCCTTAATATCTTTTTCTTGCCTAATCGCTATTGCAAGCACTTCCAGTACTATATTGAACAGTAGTGGAGAGAGTGGGCATCCTTGTCTTGTCCCTGACCTTAGGGGGAAGGGTCTCAGTTTTTCCCCATTGAGGATGATGTTTGCTGTAGGTTTGTGGTAGATGGCTTTAACTATATTGAGGAAAGTCCCCTCTATTCCCATTTTGGCAAGGGTTTTCATCATGAATGGGTGGTGGATCTTGTCAAAAGCTTTCTCTGCGTCTATTTATATGATCATATGATTTTTATCTTTTCTTTTGTTGATATGATGGCAGTAATAATTAAAACAGCATGGTACTGGAACAAAAGCAGAGCTGCAGACCAATGGAACAGAGTTGAATATACTGACATTTCCTCCCAAACATATAATCATCTAATTTTTGATAAGGGGGCAAGAAAAGTGAAATGGAGCAGGGAAAGCCTCTTCAATAAACTGTGCTGGCAAAATTGGACGGCTACATGCAAAAAATTGGGCTCAGATCTCTGCCTAACACCATGCACAAAAGTAAGATCAAAATGGATTTATGACCTCAACATCAGATCAGAATCCATAATGTTTATTGAAGACAAAGTCGGCAAAACTCTCCATGATATTGAAGCTAAAGGTATCTTCAAAGATGTCACGCCACTGGCCGAGCAAGTGAAAACAGAGCTAGACAAATGGGACTATCTTAAACTAAGAAGCTTCTGCACCTCAAAAGAAACAGTGACCAAAATACAAAGACAGCCTACAGAATGGGAAAGGATATTCACCAAGTACACATCCGACAAGGGGTTGATATCAAGGATATACAAGGTACTGGTTAAACTCCACAAGAAGAAATCACCCAACCCCATCAAAAAATGGGGTGAGGAAATGAACAGAAACTTTCGCAAAGAAGAAATTCGAATGGCAAAAAGGCACATGAGAAAATGCTCTACATCACTAATCATCAGAGAGATGCAGATCAAAACCACAATGAGATATCATTTCACACCACAGAGACTGGCCCACATCCACAAGAACAAAAGCAACCGGTGCTGGCGCGGATGTGGCGAGAAAGGGACCCTCCTTCACTGCTGGTGGGAATGCCGGCTGGTCCAACCCTTTTGGAAAACAGTATGGACGACTCTCAAAAAATTAGAATTTGATCTGCCATTTGACCCAGCTATAGCACTCCTGGGAATATATCCCAGAGAGGCAAAAAGGTATAGTCCAAGTGACATCTGCAATTGTTTGTTCATTGCAGCACTCTTTAAAATAGCCAGAATCTGGAAAAAACCTGAGTGCCCAAGAACAGATGACTGGTTAAAGAAACTTTGGTATATTTACACAATGGAGTACTATGTAGCTGTTAGAAAAGATGAAGTTATGAAATTTACATACAAGTGGTACTACATGGAAAGTATCATGTTAAGCGAAATGAGTCAGAAAGAGCGGGATAGACACAGAAAGACTGCATTCATCTGGGGAACATAAAGCAACAAAAAGGGAGATTAACACCCAGGAATGGCTGAGATTAGTACCAGGAATTTTGCTCCATGAATGAAAGGCCAGCCACACGTTCTAGGTGAAAAGAAGCTCAGATAGAGAAGAGAGCACCAAATGAAGGGTGTTGTGAGGACCCTCCCAGGGTGGGAGAAGCATGCTAAAAGTAGTCGATAGACCAAACATGATTGCCACTCAAAGCCTCTCTTGCAAAACACAGTACCCAAAAGAAGAGAGAGAGAACAAGGGGGAATACCCTGCCACAGAGGCAGGATTGGACGGGAGGGATGGGGGGTGGGGGGGATGCTGGGACCCATGGTGATGGATGACGGGCACTGGTGGAGGGATGGGCACTTGATCATTGTATAACTGAAACCCAAGCACAAAATTTGTAAGCCTATAACTGTACCTCATGGTGTTTCACTAATAAAAAAAGAAAAAAACATAAAAACATAAGAACCAACACTTATGAGAGAATAAAGTCATAAATTATTCCCTGGGATTTATATTCATATTGAGAATGTAAATTGCTACAGCCATTATAAAAAGATGGATATTTTTAAAAACAATAGAGAGGATCAGAGAGATAGTGCGGTGGTTAAAGTGCTTGCCTTACACAGGGTTGACCCAGGTTCGATCCTCAGCATCCCATATGGTGTCCAGAGAACCACCAAGAAAGATCACTGAGTTCAGAGCCAAGAGAAACCCCTGAGTATCTCTAGGTGCAACCGCCAAAACAAAAATAAAACAAAAAAAAAAAAGAAATTACATATAAATTGGTTATTCTACTTCTAATTATTTGCCTCTCAATACAAAATACTAATTCAAAGAGCTATTTGACTCTCATATTTGTTGTAGAATCAGTACAACTCCTAAGAACTGGAAGCAATTTAAGAAACTATTCAGCTGCATGGATAAAGAAGATGTGGTATAAATGCACAATGAAAAACTATTCATCATAAAATAGATGAGACTACCATTTGTAGCAGTATGAATGGACCTAAAGAATTTTATGTTTAATGTAGTAAGCAAAGACAAATATCATATGACAACAGTCAAGCGAAATAAAATGGAAATTTGCTTTTAGACTACAAAATCAATCACTGGTTACTGAAAGGAAGGGACATGGGAAAAGTGGGATGAAAGGAAAAATTACACAGTGAAAGTCAGAACTGAACTTTTAGCTATAAAGTGTATGTATATGTATGTATATATAATGTGTGTTATATATATACATATATATATATGTGTTGTACACCCAAAATGCATGTAATGCTGTAATGGAATGCTACTTCAATAAAACATAAATTAAAATCCATCTAGTAAAAATTCATCTTCAAATTGAATTAAAAATTTTTCTCTTCGTTTCTGTACACAGGTTTGTTGTAATTGTTAGACATTTTCAAAATAGTCTTACGAGCCCCAGTGGAGATTTTTGCATCATTTTTACCTGCCTGTAGAGCAGCCAAATTTTCAATTTTTAGTCATTGAAAAAATTGTGAAACACAAATGATAAATGTACAGTGTGCTAATTTTCAATTTATAACAAACTTTTGTAATCGTTTATTTCCCTGCTATTTAGAAACATGCACATTTTACTTCCCCCCAAAGAGAGCAAATAAAAACCTTAAAGAAAAATTGGATTACCGTGGCTGTTACATCTGGACGTTTCCACGAGCCTGCCATTTTGGTCATAGCAAGCCATTGCTTGGTAACGATATCCTTGCCCACATTCTTTGATGTCTCCTTGTACTTTCATCCCTAATAACACTTCCACTTTTCCCTCTGGTAAAATGCAGTCTGACCAGTTCCCCACAGGCTGTGCATTATATTTGTCACAAGGACAATACTGAGTCTCAGTCAGTGGGTACAAATGAGAATTTTTACATTTTTCTTTCTTCTTACTTTTTCCTGTGAAGGAGAAAGCATCAATTTAAGTTGAAACATACCATTAAATTCAAGAATCCTTTTTTTTTGTTGTTGTTTTTATTGAATCACCATGAGATGCAGTTACAAAACTTTCATGTTTGAGTTTCAGTTATATGGTGATTGAACACCCATCCCTTCACCAGTGCACATTTTCCACCATCAGTGTCCCCAGCATTGCACACCCGCCCCCAAGTATCCCCCTTGCTTCTATGACAGACATTTTCCCCCATACTCTCTCTCTACTTTTGGGCATTATAAGAATACCTTTCTTAAAATTCTTTTCTCCATTTTTAACCATGTTCAATATGATCCTATAAATAAGGACTGTTAGTCTAGTTTTGGAAAAATAAAAAAATTGTCATATGAAAACAGTGTTGCATAAAGTACTAACTGATTTGCTTAATTTTATATTCTTCAAAATGATTAACAACTATTCATGGAGCCTGAGAGGTGATGCAATGGGCAGGGCACTGATTTTGCACATGGTATACTTGGGCTCTACTGCCACTATCCTATGTGGTTCTGAAGCATGTCAGAAGTGATCTCTTAGCAGAGACCCAGGAGAAAGCACTGAAAACCTCTGCATGTGGCCTGAAAAGCAAAAGAAAATCCTCTCAAATGTTCAAGTACTTTTATTGAATAAGAAATTTGACATAACATAAATTTCTCCCTTAAATCGTGTAAAAATACGGGATGGAAAGAGAGAGAGAGTATAAGAATCAACAGGAAAATAATGTACCACCATGTTCTCAAGGCTACTTTTCCTTTCTACTGACCATACATAATGCAAATCTCATTGACAATTTTCATGAAAAGACACATGTATCAGTATAAAAGGAACACTAAGGCATATTCAGGCACTGTCCAAATGCATTTTCAAAATCTTCTTGGTTCGACTTTTATTATGTTTTCTACCTTGCCAATGATTGGCTTTGGCATCCCAATTATTCTTACCAACAATCGTGCGCTTTCTGGTCCTAATGGCACCACAGTCTCCATTGCAGGAAGAAAACTTGGACCAGCTGGTAAACTGACAATCATCTTGGCAGGGGATCTGGCAGGCTTGGGTGAGGGCTGGCACAGGGCCCGCATACCCGAGGCAATCGTGGATGCCAGCCTGCCCTCCATCTTGCTTCCGACAAGTAATGGCTACAGGGAAAACATAAAGCTGTTTACAACAAATGAAAATGTCTATGTGTCTCTGTAATTCAGGAATAAACCCACATTTCTTGCACAATCATAGGAATCTTGTTTTAAACTTTTATTTGCCACAGGGATATGATAGGGAGTTTCTAATAACCACAGCGGTCATTACATTGATCCTATGGACTATTTATAATGACAGATAACTCTCAGTGTTTTTTTGTGACACAAAAAAGTCCCCCAACACACGCATGTTTAGCAGTTACTAGATGCTATTAAGGATTTCAAGTCACATGTGGAGTATATTTAGAAATGAATTATTTAGGAGTTGAATAAATAATATATAGGCTCTGATAATAGCTTACTTTGAACACACTATTCGTAGAGCCACTGCAGGATGATGCTACATACCTCTATAATCTGTTTCTATATCACTGAACACTGTAGGATTTCTATATAGACATTTCTGTCACGGTCTTCATGGAAGAACATAGAATCAAAGGTTTGGGGAAGAACAGCCACTTGCACAAAAAGCAAGTCTTTAAAAAAGATACACAGAATGAATGATTGCTGAGGTGGTTTTGTAGTGGAGGAGGTAGTGCCAAACTATCCCTACCCCTCTAGTCTACAAGATTTTCACATGCACAAATATTAACCACGAAATTAAAAATAAGAACAAAATAAATTAAAAAACTAAAAAACAAAAACTTTCCCTAATCTTCATCATTTTATAAATAGCTTTTCCATAAAATGGTCAAACATTTTTTGATTCACCCTTGTTATTTTCCTCTTTACTCTCCTGAAATATTTGAATCTATGTACTAAACATGTATGTAAAATTCCTTTCAAAAAACTAGTTTTAAAGAAAAAAGCAAGTGATGTTTAAAAAATCTTTTCCCCTTAAGCATTTCTTCTTATTGGTTTTAAAAATAATTCGGTAATTTATTGAGAAATCATATGAAACATTTAGACCTTGCTCTTCAAGTTAAGACTATATTGAGCTAGCTAAAATGGACCTGATCAGATTGATTTACACAGTCTTTTCAGGTTTATGACGTAGTGTGAAACTGCTGCATATTGCTGCCTCGTTCAAGACTCTGTTATGGCATTTTGATTCTAAATGACAGGTAGAGCAATAAGGGTCTCAGACTAGACACCATTTTCTGGATCTGTGTAACTAAAACTCAATAGCTAGTAGTGCAGGTCTGAGTGTCTGGGTATGCAAAAGGACATAACTAACAATTTAGCATGGAGGATTTTCTGTGTAGGTGAACACAGTTCGCACCAAATGCTTCCAGATATATTTTTGTGCAAATGCAGATGTATACTCATTTATTTCTTAGCTATAAGATAAGTCTTCATTTAGTTTGCAGAACACTGAAACACTGGCCAACCCATCTGAAAAGAAAAGAGGTTCTTGAATTATAGAGATTAGCAAACTTGGCAGAGTAGGGAGCAGCAGTGGTGGACTCTATGAAGGTGTGATGCAAAAAATGCAAATGCACCAATGAGATTCACAACTTGGAGCAGAAAAATAATAGTTTTAGGTTAAATCTGATTGTAGATGATAACAATCTGGATGGACACCTTTTGTAAAGGAAAAATTCTGATTTAATGGGTTAAGCTGAGGGTCCTGAGTCATACTGACTTTTTATAAATCCTTGATGTTTTAAAATGCAACTGAGGATTGAGACCACTACTCTAGGAGGTAATGTACAACAATTTGCATCTGAAAACCCAGGAATGCTACTAAAATCATAGGTTTTGGGATATTCATTGCAGAGCTCCACAACTTTAAGAACTCTATATGGGGAATAAGAATAAGAATAAGCATCTATATGGGGGAATAAGCATTCTCAAATTGCTCAGATATTTCATATGCACAGTCTTATCTGAAACCCACTAAGTCAAAGAATAATGAGTCATTATGTAAGCCAAGGAAGTACAAGAAAGGACTTAGTTAGCTGAATAGAACTACCAGACTGAATTGTTTTTGATGGCCAATATACCAAAGTCAAAACAAATAATATAATAGCATATAATCACACTGGTAATATGACAAACTTTGAAATAATGGCTGCTTATATGGAACTCTAAACTCAAGGGATGAATAAAAATTTTAAGCAGATAGGTTGGAAGAACACCATCTGTGAACTGACATAGGAGAAATCTCTAAGTTATAGTATGTTAATGGAATAATATGATTTTGCATTTGTCTCAACAATTGCTAAGTAGAAAGATACAGGGCTGAGTTCTTCAACATCTTAAACTTGGTAAACTTTGATGGCTAATGGCCAAAGTATCCTATATTTAAATGGCTAAAGTAGCATATATTTAAAAATATATATTTAAAAATATCATTTTACTAATCATGATATGTAAGAATCACGAGAAGGATTGATTTTGGAAATAAGCTATTCACAATTTAGAACCCTATGTTGTGAAGTAGGTTGTGCCATTTCTAATTGAAATTGCACTGCACTGTAACACTGTCCTCCCGTTGTTCATTGATTTGTTCGAGCGGGTCCAGGAACATCTCCATTGTGAGACTTGTTACTGTGTTTGGCATGTCAAATACATCACTGGTAGCTTGCTAGGCTTTGCCGTGTGGGCAAGATACACTCGGTAGCTTGCCTGGCTCTCTGAGAGGGGTGGAGGAATTGAACCCGGCATTAGAAAATTAAATTTGGGTTCAAAGTAGACCAAACTACTCTTATATTCTCATTAATATTGCTCTCTCAAACAATGACTTGAATAGAAAATTTTTATATGCACTATTCAGCATTAAGTTTCTCACTTACAATTTTACTTTATATTGTAATTTTATTACAATATTATTGATCACAATTTTGTCTTGTATTATATTAATACAATTTATTACAATATTACAATTTACTTTATATTTACTTTATATTCAGCATTAAGTTTCTCACTTACAATTTTACTTTATAATTGTTCCAACTATATCATTAAGAGACACTAAAAATTCAAAACAGTTAAAAAAAAGAATAACCCATAATTAATTCAACTCAAGAAACAAACTTATTTTGTGCAGAAATAAAACATTAATTTAAATTCCAATCTCTTTTCTCTACACATCCACTGTACATAAACTCTTAAACACTTTATTTATAAACCTGGGCTGGAGCGATAGCACAGTAGGTAGGCCGTTTGCCTTACACGCAGCCAACATGGCTGACCTGAGTTCGATTCCTCCACCCCTCTCGGAGAGCCGGGCAAGCTACTGAGAGTATCTTGCCCGCACGCAAAGCCTGGGAAGCTACCCGTGACATATTCAATATGCCAAACACAGTAAGTAACAAGTAACAGTAAGTAACAAGAAATCTCATGATGGAGACGTTACTGGGTCCGCTTGAGCAAATCGATGAACAAGGGGAGGAACGTGACCTATTTATAAACCAAAAAGGGTAGTTTTCATATCTGTTCTCAGAAACTCACTCAGCATTAACTATTCTTAGCAGAAACTTTCGACAGTATATTTCAAATGAATTACCTGTGCAATGTTATCCAGGCAAGCAGCAACTACACCATTCGTACAATACATTGAAAATTTATCATACATCTCATACTGTTTTTACTCTGACTTAGAGGAAACACATTCAAAGACAGGAATGCAATCTCAGATGAACTTCCTGCTATTAGGGTGAGGAAAATATAAATGTTTGGAAAGGAAACTATTGAGTCTTTTCTTATAAATCTTAAAAATAATTTCTAAGACACTGAATATAGGGTAGTTTTCACAGTAGTAAAGAGCTTATTATTATAGAAAATATGCATCATACTAAGCATGGCATAGAAGCATATCAGAAAGCTGCATGAACTCAAACACACTGCATCTGTATTGACAGATGGAGTGAGGATATAATGTGAATGATTTAACAATTTTTCCTCTGGGCTAAGGCCTTGTTTGCATGCTGTCCTTAGGATAATTCATCCTGAAATCTTATATACATTAAAATAGTTATTGTAAAGAATGTCTCCAGGTTTAACTTAGGTGTCTGATTATTTTATTTGTAATTGTACTATACAAAACCATATGAGATATGATAATTTTTATTAAAGTGTTATAATAGATTGTTTACATAATAGTCAGGGGACACCCATGTAATACACTTTGTGGGTTTCTTATGACTTTGGGTGTGAAAGTTCAGACAATATTGGAAAGTTAAGGAAAACTGTTTCTTTGACAAATAAAGGGTCTAAATTAAAAAGGAGCTAGAATCTATTGGTTGAAAGCTGAAAGTGACAGAAATATTCGAGGGCCAGAGTAATAGTACAGTGGGTAAGACACTTGCTGTGCTGATGTTTCCGTGCCAGGGCCTGAAGATGGCATGCTGCTTTGACCTTGTAGTGTCAGTGACATCCAGGTGGTACTCAGGAGGCCATAGGAAGCTGGAGAGTGAACTGGATCTGGTGCATGCTCCTTAACCTCTTATGGAGACATTTATGAGCACTGGTTTGGATAAACATCACATACTGACATTTTTGATACAATTGGGGAAAATTAAACAGCTGAGATATTAGAATATATTAAATAGTTACTGGGTTGGGAAGAAAGGTCTATGGGTTAGAGCACACACAGTGCATGCAGGATCCTGGATTTGATCCATAGGCAAAAATGACCCCCAAGCACTAAGACAGGATTAGCCCCAAGGCACTGCCACAAGGTGTGACCCCCCCCAAGTTTATTAATTGTTTTGTGTTTTAATAACAAATTTATTGGTAGTGGACCATATTCTCTGCTGTTCCTCTTTTTCTTTTCTTTTTTTTTTTTTTTTGCTTTTTGGAGTCACACCCAGAATTGCACAGGGGTTACTCCTGGCTCACGCACTCAAGAATCACTCCTGGCAGTGCTCGCACACCATATAGGATGCTGGGAATTGAACCTGGGTTGGCCAAGTGCAAGGCAAATGCCTTACGCACTGCGCTATCACTCCAGCCCCTCTGTTTCTCCTCTTGAGTCTGCTTAAGGATTATTCCTGGCA